GCTTTTCAGACCGATGAGTTTTGTAAAAATCGAGAAAGGCGGGAAAGGCGGGGCATAAAGGAGAAACAATAATGTACAGTAAGTGGAAAATAATGTGTTTTTTTAACCTTTTTAACCTTTTAACCGCATAAATACATTTCATTACACCAAATACACAAAATAATGTTCTTTTTAGCAACATCATATGACCCCTTTAATACATAATTTGACCACTAAAAAGATATATGACTAACATTAATTATGTGTAATGTTATACAATTATTAATTTTTATAGTGTGATACTATGAAAAGGTGGGCACAGATTAACACGATACATTTGTGGGATGAACTGATAAGTGGGATAGATTGTTCTTTATTAAAAAGACCATGGATTCCATAATGAAATTTCTGTTTATAATGAACTATTTCCATAACCCGAGGGGGGAAAAAATCTCACATTGCATTTAAACAGCACAATGAGAGCTTAAAGTGAAAAAAGTTATATTAGATTTCATATAAATTCTGTTGTGATTCATTTTATATTGACCCATGGCATGCCATATTTTAACCAGCAACAGGTTATCTACTGTACTGATGTAAATGGAGGATCTGTAATGGTTTTAAATAGGCTCAGACTCCTGCAGTGCTGCACAGTTTGATGGGGTGGGAATGTTAACCTGTGGGCAGATTTCGTCATCTAATTTGATTCACATTCTCCATCCTTCACCAGGATACAAAGGCCTATCTATAATTTATTTGAATTAGCACCCTAGAGAATCCAGTGTGCAGCTCAAGGGCACTTGAATGAAGTTTAATACAGCATTGAGTCATTTGCACTGCAGCAAGGGGCAATGCACTGACACAATATGCTTTGTGCATGCTAAAATCCAGAACTACTGAGCTGACCTCAGGGATTTTCAACAGTTACATCACTGAAGAGGCATTGTTTGCACGTTCCACGCTGTTGGCTGTCAGTCTGTGCATGAGTGGTGAGGATTTTGTAACAGTTTCTGCAGCAGTAGGTGGCAATAAGTGACTTAGTGAGTCATTGAATCATTCACTCAAATGATTCATTCAAAAACAGGATGGATTCATTTAA